GTAAAATGGCATAACTTATATATATATATATATAACCGTTGAGGGTTGACTGTATAAAAACAGTTCGTGCTGCACTGTATTTGTTTTGTCCTATCGTATCTATCATATGTTGTTGTCTTATTAAAAAATATGCTATACATTTAAAAGAAATGTATTTAAAATTTATAGTAAATACTTATATATAAATACATTCATGAATGTTTTTAATGAATACATTTTATAATAATACAAATAGCAATGCGTAACATTTTACCATATTTAGTGCAACACTTTTATTTGTTCCCCACAAAATATAGTTTTTTCACTAAATGTTTGGATTTCTAAAATTATTGTGCACTGATTTTTCTAGAATAACTTTTGCTGCCGAATTATCCACTAACCTAGTTTATGATAATGTTTTGTCATAGATTATATAGTCTGTATCTAGTAGATTGTGAAAGAATGATGATGTGAGGATGGGTTCCACACACAGAGATATATAAATTCTACATTTATTTAAATGAGGGAAAAAACTTCACTAGTATCGGATTAGAATCTGTATCGGCCAATACCGAACCCTAGGTATCGGTATCGGAGGCGAAAAAGGCAGATCGGAGCATCCCTAAAAAAACTTGAAAACTTTCTAGTTGCTTCAGAAAAAATATATTTTTGTTTTTCATTTCAATTAGTAGAGTTTTCTTTACAAAAACTCACAATACTAGCTGGAAATTATGCAACTATACTGTAACTGTAAAAGCTATGAATTCACATTAGTTTTCTAAACCGTTCTAAAAAAATGCCACAATGTGCAAAGCAAACATTTTTGATTTGATTGTCTTGCAAGCATCCTACAAGTCATTGTTGCAATTTTTGCACATCCTCATCTCTAGTGGTGTTATAGTCACTTTTCCTTTCAGATGTATTTGTGACCCTGGACCACAAAACCAGTCATAAGGGTCAATTTTTTGAAATTGAGATTTATACATCATCTGAAAGCTAGGATAGGACAATATTTGGCCGTGATACAACTATTTGAAAATCTGGAATCTGAGGGTGCAAAAAAATCTAAATATTGAGAAAATCACCTTTAGAGTTGTCCAAATGAAGTTCTTAGCAATGCATATTACTAATCAAAAATGTAGTTTTAATATATTTACAGTAGGAAATTTACAAAATATCTTCATGGAACATGATCTTTACTTAATATCCTAGTGATTTTTGGCATTAAAGTAAAATCAATAATTTTGACCCATACAATGTATTTTTGGCTATTGCTACAAATATACCCCAGCGACTTAAGACTGGTTTTGTGCTCCAGGGTCACATTTATCAGCAGAATTTAACAATGTTCGATAAATCACACAAAGCCATCAGAACACAACATATGTAATCCATTTATATAAGTATAGTGACAACTCTGCATTGGTCTGCTCAGTCGTCCTTAATATTGAGCCCTGCTCTGTAAAGAATCAATCTATAACCTGGTCCTCATTCTTCTGGAAACATGTCAGATACTTTAGGTACTTATACAGAAACTCCTTTAAAAAGTTTAGGTTTTACAAAGATTTTGAATCAGTCCACAAAGGCAGAGCAGCATGAAATCTGTTTGACGTCTTTTTTATTTTATTTTACTGTCTTGTGGCTGTTGTTTGTTTGGTGCCGCATGATTCCTTTGTTTTTATGATGTTAATATTGTATTATGAAACAGATATTTTCAACTCCAAATTCTTAATAAATGAGCCTTGTTTGAAGCCGATATAAACACGCCTGTGATGAAGTCTGTATTAAAGTTGCTATGTTGCTTGGCAACCTCAAAACAGCCTAGAGTCAGTATAATGAACTATATTTCTTGGCACAAGAATTGTTTATCATGTGCAAATTGTTTATTGAACTTTGGTGTCATTTATCATAATGCTGGTGCTGCCATTTTAATAAAAGCAGTAAGGCTGTGGGGCTGTTCATTCCAGCAATTTTACTTCAGTTAAGTGTGTTTTAGGTACTCATCTTTGCATTATGCTTAAGAACATACCTGAACCATAGTAAAATCACTGTAAAAGTGTCCTTGAGTGTCTTATTGCTTTTATGAAAGTGCAGAAATGGTGTTAAAACAACAAGCTAAAATGATAACAGCACACCACGCTTCAATAAATATTTTACACACTATAAACAATTTATCTGCCAAGTCATCTTTTTATGGGAGTGTCATCCTCTGGAACTGGGGGTTTCACCAATAAAGCAAGGCATTAAAATTAGTTAAATGCGGAAAATCATATCTTGGTTTAAACAGCTCATTAATATCTGTTTTAATAGTTATCAGTCGAAGTTGTAGGAACACATAGGAGGCGCACTTCACATCTGTTCTCATTTTTAACCCCCATTCACATTAACAGTGATTTGGAATGACCAAAGTGACCGGAAGTTGACCACTGAGAGGTTTCATGTTTATGCAAATTTAAGAAAAAAGCCATGGAAATTAAATTTCAGATAATCTGCATTTTGAGCGATAATCCATGTGAATGGGACTTAAAGTCCTCACAGAGTTTTAAAAAAAGGTTACAGTCCCTGAGACTCGGCTGTTCTCACTGAGAGACAGACGGCCAGAAATTAATGCATTATGGATGTTATCTGCAGGTTGTCCGTACATGTCTTTCCACCCCAGAGACTCTGTTTGTCATGCTACTAAATTCGACAACTCTCCTGCTCACACACCCTCGCCACACACTTTTAGTCCCTTATACTTGCACTGTACTCTTGTTCCATGTTCTTGTATTTCAGCTGTTGTTTTTTGCACTCTCTAGTGGAGTTTTTAATCGTAATGCTTTACGTCTTTTTAATTCTGACATTTTCTCAGCCCTGTGTAAAATAAAATTGTTTTGTGATGGTATCTGGAGATAATACACACCTTACAAATGGTCTCCAACTGAACAGAAATGTGGCAGGCTGTATGAAACCGGAGTTAGCCAGTAGGGGGTGCTGTGGTTTCAGTACAGCAGTGCTCTTTAGCAGCCCATGAGAGACAAAAAGAGTGAAGGAAACAAGGACTTGCACCTCTATCATGGTGCACAGTTATCTTTACTGAAACTCACCTGCGTACGTGCTCATCCACCCAAAACCATTCTATTACAGTAACGTTTGATTCACAGCTCAACAACCTGCTGACCACACGCATCTCAACACATCCTGGCGATGTTCACAGAGCAGAAGGAAACCGTTGCCGCCAATGCTGTTTTATAATGCTAAAAAACAGACTTGTGCAAAGTTCAGAATTAAAGAATCTGTTTGAATTTCAGTTTATGCTTGTGAATGTGAATTAAAATGGCCACACCCCACAGGAAGCTGAATTTGAATTACAGATGGAGAAATGTACTGAATTATGAGTGCAACTGGTTCCAGAAGTAAAAATCCTATTGAAGGGGAATTGATTTTTAACACTAACTTTTTAATGATAAACCTTTAAAGACAGACCTGCTTTGAGCTACATGGTTGTTAATCGATGATTTATGCTTTTGTTGAAGCCATCGGCCTGCATTATTTCAACTTGTTTTTTAAATATTGTGTTTAACAGCAGAATTCTGGGTGGAAAACTATATTACATGAAAAAATTATTTTTATGCAAAGAAATATCCACCAGTCAGAAAATTACTACAAGCAAATCATGCCAAAATACCTCTCCGTATCCGTCCAATCCAATGAAGTACACCCTACACTCAAACTACTTAAATATTTGTGTATATTTAGTTTTTATATGTAATTAACATATTTAAATTAATAGTTTTATATTTCTCATCTTTTTTAATGATTCACCTTTGTGAGAGGTTGGTTTGGTTCATGACTAATAACTTTTTAACTGAGATGTTTTTTTAAATTGCTATGGAAAAAATGCTTCCAGAACCAAGTGGGTGGGCAATGTTGAACTCTCTTAAAAGGGATTCAAAAATAAGTGCATTCTGGGAAATTAAGTGTTTTTTGTGCACCCTGGTGACATCTGACATCTCTTGTTTAAAAATGACGATAACACTTTAGTTTAGGGACCAATTCTCACTGTTAGCTAGTTGCTTATTAGCATGCATATTACTAGCGTGTTGACTGTTTATTAGTACTTATGAAGCTTATATTAATGCCTTAGTCTGCATGACCATATTTTAGGTCCCGCAATCCTACCCCATACTTAAATCTAACAACTACTAACTATTACTAAGCATAAAATTAAGAGGTTATTGAGGCAGCAGTCATCGTTATTTGTTAGTTAATAGTAAGAATTGGTCCCCAAACTAGAGTGTGACAAAAGTGACTGTTTAATGAATTTATTTGGATTTCAGTTCATTTTAATTCTACTTCTATGTAACCAAAATTCATCCTTTTTCAATCCTTCATCATCTCATCATCCTTTCATCATCTCATTTTAAATTCAGGGATTGAGTTGGAATTTTAAAAGCCTTCTCAATTAATATCTGAGTTGTGCACAACCCTGGTTCAAGCACAATTTGGTTTTGAAGGAGATAACCACACTCTGTAACTGTTTAATTACATTTAAAGTGACTATTTCATTTCTTAGGCTCACAGCCAAATTTTAAGACTGAATTTCACTACACATTGCTGTGTGAATAGGACTAGCAACAGTTGCTGTCAGTTAAAGTCTCTTTATAGGCTCTTATAAGCTGTTCTATGAATGGGACAATTTGAAAGTCACACAGATATCAGTCCCATACACTTACTATGGTATTGTAGCCCCTGATCGCAGATCTCCATCCTGAGAAATAATGTTCTGTTTTGTCTTCTGCAGCCTCAAATACTTCAGCCCATCAGTCACATCCCCAACGAGCCCCTCATTCAGGGAAAACTAGCAAGAACAGTCCCCACCGGGGGCCACAATGATGCCTGCACCAAAGAGGAACGGCCTCCTACGTCCTGTTCTCCAGCCCCCTGCACCGATCCAATTCTTCTTCCTGCTAAAGACCCTCACGTGGAGTTGAAATCTTTGCCTGACCCAGAAGAGCTGAGCCGGTTGCTTAGCACCCACCTTCGCATACAAGACAACAATGAGAATGACTCACCAGGGGCAGGAGAACAGATTGTGAGACCGACCCCTGAAAGCCATCAAAGCAAACCCCTGCAAACCCCTCACCCCTCTTCCTTCTTCAGCCCGCGCGTCCTGCAGCCTCCACGTCTACACAAACGGGTAACTCTCCCTGCTCTGTCTATAGGGGGCGGTAGTGGGTCAAACCCAAATCCAGGACCCTCAATGAACCACAAGGCCCAGCCGCTCCTTCCTCCACCTCCGTCCAGAGGTTTGCCATGCTTCAGTGCAGGGAACCACGTCTTTACTCGCGGCTGGCTATCTCAGCCTTGGCCAGCAGTAGTCAGGAGTGTGACTGACCCACAACGCAATGCTTCGGTACCGCTCGGTGTGTCCACACGACTTGCAAAGCCAAAGATCCACTGAGTGTCAGCTGCAGCCATAGACACTGATAAGGCTACCTCCCTGAACGCATGATCACACATGCGGCTTGCACTAGATGGTGGTGTTAGTGGCTAGACAACGTTTTAAGCTAAACAAAGCAGCTAAGCTATCGCATCTAACTATGCAACAAAAAGTAGTCACAATCAGCGCATCTGTCGCACAAAACCGCTCTATCACCTCGAACTAAAAGTCATTGATCATAATTCCTTAACCACTAAGAAACCTTTACCATTCACAATTACATCATCCAGACAAGTTGATCTCCTAATGGATTGACAAACTGAAGGAAAGATTGAAATTCAGTCTGAAAGAGAAGGCAAAAGCAGAGAAAACGAGCAATGGAAAGCACTGAAGAAGTCTTTTTACTTATACTCAACAAACGTCAAAGACGTGAGTGCTGTGCCGTAGCCAGTGGAAGGTGCAAGACTTTAATAAAGTGAAGGAATAAGATTCACACTCGCTGTTGCATTTACTATGTGTCAGACGCATTCATTTGTGTGGATTGGTGCTGCTCTTCCTAGCAATATTTTACACGGCAGTATTCCTCTGCAGATCATTATACATTACATTTAGAGCTGCTTTATGCCACCCTGTTCATTATACTGTAAGTCCACATATCATGAAAGAATGGTCTAATATTCTCAGAGTCTGCTCAAACACTGTTTGTATAAACAGCCTTGACAATATAAAGACAAATAAGGGCTAAACTTACTTCAGCATTTTCTAAAGAAAAGTTTCAGCATTGTTTTTCCAACATAAGATGGGTATACAGAGAAATTAAATTGTTTTACCAGTTTCATGGTGCAATTACAGGCAAGCCACCAGAGGCGGACAGTAACTAAGTACATTTACTTGAGTATTGTACATAAGTACACTTTTTGAGTATCTACTTTACTTGAGTATTATTTTTTCTGGAAACTTGTGACTTTAACTTCACTACATTTGAAAGACAAATATTGTACTTTTCACTCCACTACATTTCTATCAAGATCCTCAAAGTAGAAAGTCATTAGCTTTGAAAGTCAGTGGGTGATTTTTTTTTTTCTTCTCTAAAAACTGTATTTTTTCCCAGACAGTTTATCATTAATCACTCTTAGGGCTACATGAAGTGATTTCCCAGGATTTTTTTTTAACACTGACCAGTTCCAAATGTGAGCTTTATTTACAACAATTCAATAATAAGAAGTTCATATTGTGGTTTATATTAGACACAATATTGTCTGATTTTGCTAAATTGTGTAAGTGAAAATATTACCTGTAAAGCCACAGAAGAACTGTTGTGCGTCTCCTAATAAAACACAAAAGGTGTTTGACTGAAGCAGCACTGCACAGACTGTTCTGTGTGTGACATCAAGGTACTGCGAGCGATTAGACAGCATTTAAATTTTTTTTGTAAAAGCAGTGCTGCTGTTGTAAAGTTGTACAGCTACAGTTGTGTTGCTGGGTTTTAAAGCAGGTTTGATTTTTTTTATTTTCTTATCAGTCTGTATTTACAATTTCACTGTCATCTCTGTTCAAATGTGGATGAATGGCTACACATAGATGTGTTCACACTGTCAGAGCTGTGTGAGATCACTACCATCCTGCTTTTGTGGGGGTGGGTAGGGGTGTTAAATAATATTTATTTTGTTTTGTTTTGTTTTTCCCCCATAGGTTTTTAACATTCTAAAAGCCCTTTATTCCAAAGATACTACAAGCTAGCCATTGTATTCAGTAGGTGTAATGTATTGTAAGTTGCATCAAAGGTATTGCAAGTATTACATACAACAACAATGAAACAGTGCATTGACACAAAAAAGGAAATTTACTTTTGGTACTTAAGTACTTTTAAAAGCAAGTACTTCTGTACTTTTACTTAAGTAAAAATCTGTCTTTACAACTTTTACTTGTAATGGAGTAATATTTGACAAGCAGTATCTGTACTTTCACTCAAGTAATGGAGTTGTGTACTTTGTCCGCCTCTGCATGACAGTGAAAACAGTCTGTAGTTAATGGGGTCATATGATGCTTTTTTAAAGATCATTATTTTGTGTATTTGGTGTAACAGAATATGTTGACATGCTTTAATGTTAAAAAAAACACTACTGTAGTTTACTACTGCAAAGTACTGTACATTATTGTAGGTCCTCTATGCCCCGCCTCTCTCAAACGCGTCGTTTTCTACAAAGTCCCTCCTTCCGACAAGCGCAGTCTACTCTGATTGGCCAGCTGACCCAGTGCATTGTGATTGGCCGAACACCGCAAGCACTTGTCGGAAATGTAACGCCCCTTACCATATTCGCGAGCTTCATCTTTCAAAATAAATGTAAAGACAGAGCCCGAAAGGGGAACAGAGTCGAATGACAGACACTGATAAAGCTGGTATGTGTGCAGTACACAAGCCACGGTTAAGACAGTTGACTCCACTGTGACCTAACCCTGTCTCTCTCTCTCACACACACACACACACACACATACACATAATGCGCAAAACTCCGCATTTGAACAGTCAATAGCAAAT